GATTGTGACAAAATTCTACTACTAATACTTCATCAGCTTAAACAAAATTTGGCGAATACATCTCATACTACTTATTTACTGGTAGTCTCGAACCTCTACTTAAACACGAAAAATAGGCTATCAAAAGTTGAGAGACCTGGGAGATTTGTTTTAGCACAAAGGCTCAACCCGAATTTCCATTCACATTGAGCAGAATTGAATGGAGACGGTATAAACTGATGATAGTTTAATTTCTCGCCGTGATCTGAACAGGCCATACGAGGTCATTTAATTGACCTTAGCCTACCCTCCCAAAATGTATTCCCGTCCAGAACTCGCGTGGATCTCAACAAGAGTCCACTCTGGACGAGAATGTCTTTAGGAATAAGTAAGTGGCGAGGATAAGTGAACTTGATTGGCTTCGTGGTGCCTTTTCATAGCATCGTAAGAAATGCATTCTTTCATGTGAATATAGTTATTATTAAAACTTATTTAATCTGATAAAAGTTAAAAATAGCTTCTTACCCTTTAGAAGTAGTAGTCGCAGTCTTCATTAATTTAATACTGTTGGTTCGAGCTCGTTTTCTAAACTTGCTCAGAGCGTTAGGAAGACCTGGTGGAACAAACCAGAGCATTCGTGATGCACAGCATCGCACCATTGACTTGCTACATTCCCAAACTCTTCTTCGGCATCTTCAATGAGAGGTCCATTGTCGAGATCCGGCTGCTACGAGATTGTTAGGAGGACCTTCATTTCGTACGAAAGTGCATGAAGAAGAGATTCGTTGGTCGATCTGACCAGATGATATTCATGTTGACTCAGTCCACGAGACTTGCTGCCTCGTTTCGGGTGAGCTTTTGTCCATCTTATGATTGACATCATCAGAGCTGGGAGTCATTCTTGCAAAAGTCAAACGTTAACACTAAACCTATTTTTCTTACCTCTTATGTAGACTAAGCTGAGCCAAAATAAAATTAAAAATTAAAATCTAAAACCTAGAGCAAAAGTAGCAGGACAAGTATGAAAGATAACTAACCAAATTACTCTATATCCATCTAGGTTTTTAATTTTTAATTTTTAATTGTTAATTTTTAATATTATTTTGCTTGGTTGAGTCTCTATAAGAGGTGATAAAAAGCCGGATATTCTCCTTGGCCTAGTGTTAATATTTGACTTTTGCAAGAATGACACCCAGCTCTGACGATGTCAATCATAAGATGGACGAAAGCTCACCCGAAACGAGGAAGCAAGTCCCGTGGACTGCGTCAACATGAAGATCGACCAACAAATCTCTTTTTCATGCACTTTCATCCGAAATGAAGGTCCGCCTAACAGTGTTATCTCAGCAGATTCATCGAGACCAAGTTTCTCTTCGTATGCTACAAGATTGTTTGTTCATGTGGTCGAAGTTATGTTGGTGATATATGCGAAGAAAAGTTGTGTTTCGAGGAATCTCTTGTTTCATAATTGTTGAACTGACTTCCATTTCGAGTGAAAGTGTGCAGTGAATAGATTCGAAGTTCGGTTCCACCAGAAGACCAACTGTCGATTGGCTTTATTGGAACATTCATGCTGACGCTGTTTCCTTTGATTCCGGCGACAAAGGGTTAACCTTTCGTCCTCCATGCGACGAACATCATCAGAGCAAGGAGGGTATCATCGTCACGACCGAATTCAAACTTACGAGTCAAGAACCGACCTTCCAATCTCTTCATGCAACACTTTCACTCGACATGGAAGTCAGCTCAGCAATGGTGTTGGTGGGACATGCCGACCGATTGGACAAAGATTTGTGGAATACCAAAATGGCTGCAAATGAGGTCGGAAGCGACCAAACAGGCAGGACAGAGAATGCACATGCGATGGAATGTTCTCAAACCAGAAGATTTGCTGATTATGGTTCGTCTGGGGTCGAAAAGAAATTAACAGATTTTAGAATACGTCGAAAGTGAGCAAGAGTGGAAGTACGTATGCCTGATTGAGCGATTGAAGGAGAGAGAGCGGGTGTCGAGTCGCCATGGAACAGAAGACGTCTCAACTGGTCCGCTCGGTGAGGCTGCCAACTTCCCTCGGAACCGTTGCGGAATCACTGCTCGTCCCTCTCTTCGTCCCAGCCTCTCTATCTCTCCCTCCCTCAAGCCCACTTCATATGGCCCACTTCACACTTATTCACACAATTGTGTGCTCTCGTTTCCTCCAAAGTGGGCCACGAGTGTGCTGCTACGAGTGGGTTCAGTGAAGCCGTCATTCGCTCGTCTCAAATCTGGCTGCCGTCCTCGCCATTTCAAACAGCTGATTCCCACGTCCATTCACACGCACATGCACATGCACATGCAAATGCCTGGCCAGGCTTCAAACCCACGACTCGGCTATCCGCGCCCACATTGCGTGTGTCCGGCTTAAGTGATAACGGCTCGTGTGAAAATACCCACTTTCCTTTTCACTGTGAATCTCAGAAATCACACTCCCATCTCATCCAATGGGAATGGGCTGTTCTTGTGTGTATCGGGTGGGATGCATCGTCGTCAAGCATGTCACCAGTCACCTCCTCTCAGGCGCAGATACGAAATATGCACACACACACACACACACACACTGGTCACTTATGACCGGCCCACCGGTACCTTTAGCCTTTACTTTCAAATCATACGTCCCGTCAGTTTTGTGGCCAATTCCACACCTGACCCCTCCCCCCCACTGCAGTCGCCTTTCTTCACTCCCCTTTGCTCGGCGTGAGTCGCTCCAGATGCTGTCTCTTCCGGTCGTTCAACAGAAGTTCTGGCTCCAAGCGTCTCCGTTGCCATGCCTTCGCCGACTCTTGCCTCTTCCAAACTCCTTTCGGTCAGATTTCTTTGCAGGAGGATCTCCTTTCGCCTCCCCCCCACCCACGGGGCCAGTCTCTGCGTTGCATTCCAGTCAATTGTGTGGTTGGAAATGACGATTTGTTGAGCTGTCTCCCATCTTGCATAGTCGCTGGTGTCATTTCATCCCCATCCCGACCCTCCTCGCCGTCTCTCCCAACCATCTTTGCTCACAGTCGTTGCGGTTTATGCTGCCGACTGCGGAGCACTCTATTTTGTTGACCTCTTGTTGTTGTTGTTGTTGTTGTTGTTGTGTCGGCAAGTTGGTGCAGGATTGTATCAATCTTCCATTTCCGTACAATTGGCCGTAGCCTCGGAGACAATTGGCAGGAGAGTAGACATTTGCAACTCGCTTGCTTTCCTTTCAAAAGCTACGTCCTTCCATCTGTTCATCACCATCCGCATGTTGTGTTGTATAGCTTCTTGTGGACATCCGTTGCCAAGACGTCCCATCTCCTCGTGCCACAACTCGCAATCAGTCAGTCGTAGGCTTCCCACGACCAACCACATTCCGTAATATTCCCATCTTCATTCCAAAAGTGGAGCCAGATTGGAAGGTACGAGTAATTGCAGAATGCGACTACTTTCGGAAAGGTGGTTTCAGCGAGTCGAGGGAATCTGCAGCCAAAATGGACGCACAACGTGAAACTGACAATCAGATTTCATTTCGAGTGAACGGTTAAGACGATGGCGTCCGCCTAGTTCGAGCTCAGCAGAACTCGGTAGCCGATTCCTTTCGGTTCTGCGTCGTTTGTCTTGACTGCGGAGCATTCCATTCTCCATCTCCCTGCTCATGATGGTACCGCTCAGTGACGATGCCGACGAAGCATTTGACAATGTACCAAGTCAATGGTGCGCAACTGGACATCACCAATGCTCTGACAGAAGACAATACTTTGGCATATTCCAATATTCATTCCAAAAGTAGAGCTAGATTGGAAGGTACGAGTAATTGCAGAAT